CAAAACTGCATTTTCGACATCTTCTCCTCGCCACACAGCATGTCGAAATCCGCGATGCAAAACAATACTCTATAGCTGTCACGTTTGTTTTGAAATACAATGTGACAACTTCTCAAAAAAAAAAAAAAAAAAAAAAAAAAAAGGGGATTCCACACCTCCTCTCCAGAAGGGCTCCTTTCCACTTCAGTCCTGCAACTTGGACATTTTCAACGGTCCTCGGATGGGATGTGGACGAATTCTTGCCCGAGTCTCGAAAAGGAGAACGGACCAAAGCTTGTGCTATCTTCAAGCCAGTTTGCCTCTTTTGTACATAGGACTCGTGAGTTCTTCACTTCGACATGCTGTGTGGTGAAGAAGTTTTTTCTGTCGAAAGAGGGAATGTCGCAAACTTCCTGACATATGTCGAATTTCGTGATGTTTCGACATTGGTGCGGCGAGGCCCTTAACTTGTCCAGTATCTGGCGCCTGGCTCAGGGCGAAGAGGTTCCCCTCTAATTTCTAGCTCAGGCGTTTTTCACTTGTCTTTTCTCAGATACATTCCAAACTCAGGGCCTCGCTGCACTACTCTTGAAATGCACAAAAGACAAAAATCATGTCCCTTTATCTTTCCATGTTGTAGCGGAATATTCACTCTCGTTTTGCACCTTTCAAGAGTAGTGCAGCGAGGCCCTCAATCTGTATATGGGACGCTGAGCCCGTTTTCCAGCAGGTGATGCTCCCCACCTATAGATGGAGCCTCCCCCCAGGTGCTAGTTGTGCCTGCTCTTACCAGTACCACTAACACTGAAGGGGGTGTCTTCCCAAAAAAAAANGGTGCTCCGATTTCCCTTCCCCTGACCACACATACTACTTCACCCACCCAGGATTCGTTGAGATCACCACCAGTTTCCCTCCTTTCCGCCTCCTTGTCCCGTATCATCAACTCAGTGTCGTTCCGTGGCCGGCCATAGCCCCCTATTGGCCCAATACGTTTTGCGTGAACTGCCGACGCAACGGCGCGCAGAACACTCCGGAATTTCGGATGCCCAACCCAGGTACGCGGCGGCCCCCGAAGGACTAACTTTTCAGGACAATCTCCACCACAGAGGAATTTTCCCGTAACCCGTCGCCCACAGTGTCCCGGCCCCATCGGACCGTGAGTCCCTTGCGCACGCTCGCCTAATTGCATTCATACCCTTAAGACTCCCCCCACTTTTCCCAAAAATCCTTGGCACACCCCTTTTCGCACTTCCAGGCCCATACCCCACTCCGATCAGGAAGTCGCGCTGGGCGTGAGGTTGGGCGTCACAACATCCGTTAAAATTGGAACGATACAGAGAAGATTAGCATGGCCCCTGCGCAAGGATGACACGCATAAATCGAGAAATGGTCCAAATTAAAAAAAAAAAACTATGATACCAGGCCGGCGGGGTCTAGTCACTGGGTGGGGTCTAGTATCTGCAGTAGGTTCACGTAGGTTGGATAGGATGCCATTGGCTGTGGTTCCTACGGACATTCGGATAGAACTGTCTGCTGGCTATATATAAGGCCTAGACCCTAGGGTAAGGGAAGGGATATAAGTCGGCGCTCAGGCCAGTCCGAGGACAGCCATTCCTCTAGCACTGCTCAGTCAATCCCCTGCGTCAAACCAGGGCAATCAATGCTGGCAGTGTGTTTCAATATGTCGTGCATCTTCTCATTGTTGGCTTATCTATTATCTTGTAAGGGACGCTGGACCCGATTTCCAGCAGGTGTCGCTCCCCACCAATAGACTGGAGCCAGCCACAGGGTTGCTAGGGGTGTCTGCTCTTACCCGCACCTCTAGCAAACCTGGGTCTTGTTTAAAAAAAGAGAAAACTACGGCGCAGTCAGGGTTACAGTTTGTAATTGCATTCGAAACTGCGTTTTACCAGTTTAGTCAGGGCACGAGTTTCAATTGCAGTTTAGTCAGGGCCCAAGTTTCAATTGCAGTTTATTCAGGGCCCTAGTTTGTAATTGCATTTGAAACTCGGGCTTGCTTTTTCTAGCAGTTCAGTTTCTTTCTTTCCTGTGTCTTTTTTTTTTTTTTTTTTTTTTTTTTTTTTTTTAATCCTTTTTTTTGTCTTTTTTTTTGGTCGCGCGCCATGGTCCTTTTCTTTCTTTTTCGTTTCTTTTCTTTTCTTTTTCTTTCTTTTCTTTTTTTTCTTTTTTTTTTTTTTTTCGGTCGCCTGCGGCGCCTCGCCGGGGCCTCTCCGCAGTTAGAAGGAAAAGGAAAAAACAGCCCCATGGTTGGGCCACGGCCCAGATTCGCAGGCACTACCCTTCACAGGCAAACGCAGAGTAGCCTACTCCGAAGAAGTGGGGGGCTCGGGGCAGGGATGCAGGCCAAAAAAAAAAAAAGAGAACGAGGAACTTCGAATCCACCTACGTCGCTGGTGCTTTGAGGAATGTATCTGGCCAGGAAGTGAGGAACATGAAACAGGTAGATTTCCTTTTTTGTTTCTTGTTGCCAGGTCCCTGCGCCCTGCCAGCCAGGCAGGGC